ACCTATGGGAAATGTGCTACAACAGAACATTGCCCAACTTCAAGTTACACTTGAAAACCATTAAAAGCAATCCCATATGATAAGTCCACAGGACTTTTATTCTTGTTTTCTTAAATGCTTATGAAAAATAAGATTTTTGTGTTCTCTTTCATTAACACATGGTTTGAGTGAACGAGCTTCATTGTCTGAACAAAAAAAAAACAAAAAAAACAGATGAACATTTAAACTTGTAGTGAATCTTTATCCAATAGCAGATATACAAAAATAGAAAGGGGTATAAGGCAAGGATGTGTCTTCTCACTGGACTTATTCTACCTATACAGAAAGGCAAATCTGAGAACTGGAAATCCTACCAGGATTTATCATTAGTGGCCACAATCTTAACATCATAAGATACACAAATGACACAGGGCTGATAGCAGACACAGAAAGAAAACCACAAAACCTCATGCAGAGGGTAGCAAGGAAAAACGAGAAGAATACAATTGACTAGTGCCCATAAATAAGATTCAACCATTTCTTTCATAGTTTAGTAGTTCAAAGGGGAGACAACTATTGTTACCTTCCCCGCAATTGCATTAAATCTCTATAAAGTACTTCACAGAATGTGAGCTTGTATTATTGTGAAGAATGACATACTATCTTTTAACAAAATCAGAGCAATTTTTTTATTTTTCACTTATTCTTGACAATAAAAATCTGATTGTTTTACCTTATTTCCAGAGCTTGCCATAGATAAAACCTACCCCATTCCACCAAAACTTTGCAAAAGTAGAATATCAGTCACTGCTCTTTTTTTTGGGGGGGGGGTTAACTCCCACATGGATGCTTCCCTAAGTATTACAATCTTAACCTCTTCAAAGTCAATCATTACCTATCCTCCTTATCCTCATAATCTTCACTCCATATTTCCTACTCTTACATTCATATCACACACCTCATTCAGTGACCTTCTACATCGAGTACCTCTTGAGCCTTAGTGAAATAAAAAAAAATAAAACAGTCTGTTTAAACGTTGTGCATCATTTGTCATTGCTGACATGTTCAAGATGAACAAAATTTAATTTTTTCCAACATCAGAAGTCAGTCTTTAAAAATGAAACACTACTTTCCAGATGAGATTGATATTACAGACATTGGCAGAGATAAAAAATATTTTCCCCAGTCAGTCTTGTACATATGGAGGTAATAAGCCATAATGAATTTATTGAAAATGAATCACCGAGTCTCTGGTATGGAAAACTGAAACGTACTACGTTAAAAATAGAAAAAGCCAGCAAAAAAATATCGATATTTTAGAAAAGTCATTGGTATTTAATATTCATTAAGGTTAACAGAAAACAGAAAATAAAAGCCAACAAGGAAGAGAGAAGAAAAAATAGAATAAAAATGGAAAACAAAATTATGTAAAATTAATTTAAAATATTAATAAACAGGTTATAGTTTAAGATTATCCAAGAGAAGTATTTTTATAACATCATTGCAAAAATTTCCAGCAAAATCCTTTGCACATTATTAGAAAAATATGAAAAGGTGTCTAAAGATTACTATACTTATTATTTATTGTTAAAATGCTTTTTGCTTATACTCTTATGTACCAAATATACCATAGGTCAAAAGGGGTCACCCTGTGGATTTATGCCTTTTTGGTTTGATCATCAAGATTGACATCAAGAAATGAAAATGAGGATGGATCAGCCACACGTTCCGCAAGTCTGTTTCTAGTATCACCAGGCAGGCCCTTGATTAGAATCCACAAGGGAAGCGAAAAGTGGGGTGGACCAAACAAAACGGACTTGACAGAAATGTTAACGCAGAGATGAAGGCAGTCAGCACGACATGGGCCGAGCTGAAGAGGATTGCCTGGAACCGCATCCATTGGAAAAGTATTGTTGTGGCCCTATGTTCCCCAAGGAATCAAGAGGCATAATAATATATATATATATATATATATATATATAATATAAATAATCAAAAGGCTTAAACACTAATATTCCATGGTCATAATTAATTCCATTGGAATCGTAAATATGATCCAATTCATCAGACCTACAAATTTGTAGGTCTGATGAATTGATCAATCTTTGATTCCAATGGAATAAATATGACCATGGAAAATTTATGTTTAAGCATATTTTTATATGTATGTGTATATTTATATAATATGTATATATATATATATATATATATATATATATATATATATATATATATATATATATATATATATATATATATGAGCTTGGATGCTAAAACTACTTAACTTATTAGTACATATTGTCCAAATTATTTTTTTTTTAGAAAGGGGCAGTGATGGATCTTTATAAAACTAATGAAATTTAAATTTAAGCTTCAGGGCCTCTAATCCCTGAAGCAACTTTTTTTTTTAATGAGTGAATTTTTTGACAAAATTGATTTTTTTTTTTTGTGTTTTTTTAGGCCATTTTTTATGATAGAATCATAAGCCAATGGGTTGAAGTAGCTAATGTTGGCCTTTAGAATATGTTCTAATACCCATTTCATATGGCCTCAAAATTTGCTTGTAATTGGTCAAATTTCAAAATTTTCTTGGGAGCTTGCAACACCTGAACCACTAACTGTATGGGCTTGTTGAGCTTGCCAGAATCAATTCATAGCCTACATTTTGGTATTTGGATCCTTGTCATTTACGATACTTTTGACATACCAATACCTCAAGCAGCCCTGGAGCAATGCCTTTTAAAGTGGAAAAAGGAAAATGACAGACTTTATCGTCGTTAACCCAAAGAAAAAAAGATATTGAAAATCCTGCAGAGTTAATACGGGGGGGCTACAGTAATTTACCCTTGCATGCATGGACTCTCCCAGCTGTAAATAAGAGCAGGTAATGCCTCTTACAGAGTGTACTTTCCAGCAGTCAGCTCTGACAGTTGAACCGAACATTCTTGCTCATTTGTATACGTTTTGTATTACTTTTTCTATTAATATATTTGTTTAACTCAATTCCTCTCTTTGTGTCGTTATTTCTGGCCCCAACAAAGCCACAACAATCCTGGAATCTATTGTTGCTGGTTGTGAAGTGAACTCCAAATCTGTTCAAGCTTTAGGGCCCCAAAAATGGAAGTTTGGCATTTTCAAAATATTCAACACATCCACAATTTATGGGAACCACAGAAAAAATCCACAATTGGGGTGGAAAAATCAATGAAAGGGAGCCAAACTGCTACAACCCTATTACCCTCTATATTTTAGTTCTAATAAACTTATATATTTTTTAGCTTTACTTACAAAATTACTTACATTTACTTATTGAATCACCCACACATAGTTACCAACTATCCACTTACATTAATTATCTTTTTTTTCTCTGCAGTGCAAGCTAAATCCACCCCACTTTTTTCTTTTTAATTAATTTCCATTATTAATTATGCCGAGTTGTTAATAGGAAACACCAGTACAAGTAATTAAATAAAATAATTATTTTTTCCACGTCACTATTATATTTTGTTAGTTTGTAGAACTTTCTTTAATTTGTGTTTGCATATTCATCTGCAGAACTTTTTTTTGTTGAAATAAAAGTTTATTTTATTTAACTGGCTTAGTTTTTAAAGCAAACAGTTTTGAAATTTATATAGAGAAATATCATTGCTTATTTGTTCTAGAAATTGTAAAATGAGCTTTTGTTAAAATAAGCGGCTAGGAGTGGGGGGGCAATAAAAAAAATCATCAATCAAAAGGGGCCATGAATAGGAAAAGGTTGAGAACCACTGGGTTATGGGTTAGAGCATTAGCATTCTGACCACAAGGTCTAGGTTTTGAATCTCACCATGGTAAAGTTGATAATATCTTCCTGAGAGGCAATCCAAGCATGAAGCCCTGTTTCAAAGTGTTTAACAACAACAGGTTGTCCCATGCCTTGTGATTGAAATTGGCTGGACAGAAATGTTTGGAAATCCTTGATCAATGTGCTTATGGGCAGATAAAACCTCTTAAGCCTTTGTTGGCAATCTATCGAGAGATGGCGGCTTGAAAGAAATGCCTGATACTGTATTGTTGACTATCTGGAAGACATGATCTTAAGTTATTCTGAAATTAAATATTTTCACTTATTTCTGCTAATTTTCTTGGGGGGGGGTGATAGTTCAGACTACTTATCAAATTAGTTTAATGGCCTGAGAATTAGTTTATATATATATATATATATATATATATATATATATATATATATATATATATGTGTGTTAGTTATTTAGCCAAACCTAGAGAGCCAGATAAACCTACCAAGGTTTTCCCCTAAGCAGATCGTCAGTGCTCATTGATACCTGTATAGATTTCTTTGCAACTATTATGAATTTACTGTATGTGCAGTTGTGGCTCCTTGAAAAACAACTAAAACAATTTTCAATAAATGCATCATGAAATGTACTAAAATTCTTCTTCCCCCCAAAAATGTCCTGGTAATTAAACCTTACCTCACTTCTATTTAAAAAGAAAAAAAAAAAAAAAAAAAAAAAAAAGGTAGCAGTTGTATACTTTATGCTGATGCCATAAGTGTTTCTTCATGGTTAGTGAGAAGGTCACATAAAGGTAAGGTTATAATTTTCATTTTTTTTTTTTGTTGTTGTGATGTATGTATTTGTTTTTCTTAAATATTCCATGCCAAAATCTGAGTACATCCAATAAGCTGGCAAATGCAATAATTATAATGTTTAGAAAATAAATATTTATTTTGATTAATTCGTACGTGTTTGTGCACATGCCCCATTTAACCAAAGCCCACCATTATAAGGGTGGTTGGACCTGCTGGGATCCCAGCAATGGGCAAATAGTGAACCCTCAAAATGGGGTCAAAACTTGAAAATATAAAAATACATTAGAAAATATTACAAGCAATATATCATTGGGAAAAAAAAAAATTATAAAAACCTTACAAGAAAATAAAATTTTGACATTAAATGACCCATAAGGTGTTGATATGGCATTAGACAACCAAACCACTGCTATAGGGCTACTGGTCATATATTGAAACACCAGTTCTCATACAATCAGCAAAGTTAACCAACATTGAGCTTGGTCAGTTCATAGATGGGTGACTGCTTGGGAATACCAGGTGCTGTACACTTGGATGTGTGGGTGGTGTAATGGATAATAGTTTGGAATTGTTAATCGGAGAGCTGAGTTCCAATTCCAGTCAGGGCCATTATATTCACTTATGTGCAAATACCCTCAGGGAAGGTATAAATCCACTTCCTCTTCTTCCTCCCAGCTATGGGTTAATTAGTAAAACATATCAGTAAATCATTATCTCCAACAAATTATTCTTTTTGTTCATTTATTCAGTTAGCACATTTCGTGCTGCTATGGTCACCATTGCCTTCCATCCCACAATTGTGGTTCATAGTGACATTCAAGGCAGAATAGCACAAGGGATTCCTTTTGCAACAAATTCTTACAATCTAAAAATATTTTCCCGCTTTAAATAACTAGCAAAAGGTTGATAGCAAAGCAATCAAAACCCACTGTTATAGGTGAGAATTAAGAATTTTTATTTTTAAAAATTACTTGCTTTTAAAATAAATGTTGTAACCTAAGGTTACTGAATAGAATAATCAAATGAAGGTTGGTAATGAACAATAATACTTAGGACAAGAACAACACATATAAGATTCGCCAGTGGCCCATAGAAGTAATCAACTGCAAGAAGTGAGTCAAGTGAATTCAACAAGGAATCTCCAACTGCAGGATATCTACCAACCACCCCACATGGTCAGATGTGGCACAAGGCCAAATTTAATGTGGGGTATCTGAGCCTGTAGGTTCGGCCAAAAATTCCCTATAGATCCCATATAAAATGGGGTCAGGTAGCTGTTTTCTGAGATGAGAGACTGCCCTTTGACATAGCCACGTCTGGGGATTCTCTCTGCCCAAAGGCAGAGAGTTTGACCAGCACAGCTGGAGACGAATCTCCGACTGCAAACCAACAGAGTATTTACTACTGTATTTATGTGAATAATAATACCCACTATTTTCCGTAGGTATGCTACAACAATAAATTTAATTAAGCTTGTATCGTCCTGATAGAAAAAGGAATTAGACAATTGTAGATGTTCTGGAACACTCTTGAACACATGAAACAGCTGTACTAAATAAAAAAAAAAAAAAGTAAAAAAACATCACACCAAACTAATGTCTTATTGTCCTTAGGATGATGATAATCTCAAGGATCTTTGTTCACAGAATGGTTTCATCGTGGATGAAAAAAATCGAAAGATGTAAAGATGAATTGGGTCTAACTTACCTTTGCATTGAATAGAATGTTTAAAATGTCCAATATTGTGTGAAACATTGTCAAATACATGAACTTCCACAGAGATCATGCCGACATTTGCAGGAATGAAATGAATAGAAGAATTTCTGGACTCCATATAAATGCTAGCATTTACTCTCCACTTGTAGGTCAACATTTCCAGTCTTTGGTCAGTCGGAACAAACATAGCAACTGATTCTTTCCCAACCATCAATACAGACGGACTTCCACGGTAATCTCTATCTTGTTTAAACTTCAAAAAGCCGTTCAGTGTAACTGAAATTCAAATTAATAAAATGTCATGTCTCAGTATTTAGGGCATAAAAAAAGTTATAAACACAACAGAAAAGAGAAAATTGTCTCTCTCTCTCTCTATATATATATATATATATATATATATATATATATATATATATATCCTTCTTTCATGCAAGCTTCATTAAATATGACAGACAAGGTGCTTTGATTAAGTTTTTTTTATATAATTTCTAATATGATCCTATAATAAACACCTTAAATAAACAGCTACTGCAGTGTTAAAAAAAAAAATGAAATTCTGCAATATTTTAAAATGAAAGTAAATAATATTTGTTTCAAATCAGATTAATTAGACTTTAAATCAGCTAATATTCCTCAAATAAAGTTTCAGAAAAGTATATTTTATTTTTGAAAGATTTTTTTAATAAAGAAAATTACATTGTCATCAGGGATGTCAAAAAAAAATGTTACTAAACTATATTATAGTGAATAGGTCTTATTGGTTAAACAGTGTGCATTATGTCTATCTGCCTGTGCATTTGAGGAATCTTAGTAAAGAAAATGTGTTTTCATATATATATATATATATATATAAAAAAAATGTCTTTAATATATATATATAAAGAAATATCTTTAATATATATATATATATATATATATATATATATATATTAAGAAATGTCTTTAATATATATATATATATATATATATATATATATATATATATTAAGAAATGTCTTTAATATATATATATATATATATATATATTAGTACTAGTAATAATCCATTGGTATATAATCCAAGTGGATCCTAATAATAAAAATATTAAAACTGATCCCAAAAAAGAGCTCAATGTATTTATTTTAACAGAGTATGTAAAACAGAGAAATCTAGAATTACCTCATGGGTATAGCTATTTTAACTAGTATTAATACACTAGTATTACCCAACTCAAATGGTGTGCAGATTCAAAGTTAGAAACTTAAAAATTAAATATTTAAAAAAAAAAAAAAAAAATGAAAAAAAAAATGCAGCCTTTGACAATAAGCCTTTGATGCACCAGTAAACCATTTCAGTCGAGGGGCTAAACTTGTGTGTGTGTGTGTGTGTGTGTGTGGGGGGGGGGGGGTTAACACGCCTCTACTAGTTGAAGGAGCTCCTCAACATGGGTCACTGGCCATGGTGGAAGTGGTTCCTCTGATGAAGTACAACAGTCACATTTTCTAGACCAAGGCGAACCACCTAATTGGAGTCATCTTCATTATGACCCATTTCATAAAGGGGCTTTTTTCTTTTTCCTTAATATCCCACATGTAGCTAGAAAGTTTTGTACTATTTTGATATCTTTTTTTTTTTTTTTTTTTTAAGTACATTGGGAGCTTTTTTTATCTTGTGTAAACATTTCTTTCAGAACAACAAGCTTGCCGTTTTTGTGACAAATAGGAATTCAGATCAAATACGGATTAGAATCTAACCGAATGATGGGATAAAAACAAATAGAAAACGTCCTCTTGGTACTCAAAAAAAAAGTTTGTAAATTTTAAAATATTCAGAATACTTACCAAGATAGCTTTGAGAAACAGTAGTTTAATCTTCCAGAAATAAATTTAAAAAAAAATTATTTTTATAATTATAAAAAAAAAAAAAAAAAATCTGTCTATAATTATTTACATTATTTGAATTGTTCAGACTGTTGTCCTCATCTTTATTGTAATGTTCACAATGTTTTTGATGTTGTATGCTCTGGCCTTCTTCAGGTGATTGGAATTTCAAACTGAACCCTTTATTTACTGGGCCATGTGTCCTTGAGGACACATGGCCCAGTGGATAAAAGCATTAGTTGGATCCAGTGACTTAACCCAAAGAGTTCTGAGTTGAATACCTGGCTAGTGGTGAACAAGAACCTGGAAAGTTGAGTTAAAGGGAGATAACTGAGACATGACATATGGATCTAGAACAATCTACACCAGTGGACAAAAAGGGTTCAGTTCGAAATTCCAATCACCTGAAGAAGGTTGGAGCGTGCAACGACCAAAATGTTGTGAATGTTACAATAAAAATGAGGACAACAAAAAAAAAAAAAAGAAAAAAAAGAAAAGAAAAACAAAAAGTCTGAAACCCAAAATGAAGATTTGTTTTCATCACACACAAAAAAAAGAAAAAACTTATTTGAAATATTTGTCCTATCATTAAATTTTCTTATTGCTTTAATATTACTGCTAGAACCAAGAGTGTGGCCTGACCCCTAGTTCTATGAGGTTTGGACAAAGGAGGTTTAAAAATTAATTTTTATGATGACCACAAACACATGCAAAAACAGAGTATTTCTGTGACAAGTCAAAAATTGATTATATATTAAAAAACTAAACATCTATAACCGAGATGATGTAGTCATTATTTGAATTAAGAAAAGAATGATTAAAGAAAGAAAAAAGAAAGTCACCTTAGAGAAAAAAAAAAAAAAAGAAAAACTAATGATAAAATAAAAACTCATTTCAAAGGATTTCCCTCTCCCACAAAGAATTCATTTGCTAAGACATTTCATCAGAACTAAATATAATCAGTAAAAACCACAAACAACTTCAGGCAATGATTTCTCATCATCGGAGATAATTAACCATGGTCTATTGCCGTCTGATGGATATTTATATTACAATATAATGAGCTATTTTTATTTCTGTATTTAGAAGCTTAGATTCGTCTTTAAAAAGATAACCAGTGGTTGCCAGAAGATCTGAAAAGATGACCAGTGGTTGCCAGAAGATCTGAAAAGATCACCAGTGGTTGCCAGAAGATCCGAAAAGATCACCAGTGGTTGCCAGAAGATCTGAAAAGATCACCAGTGGTTGCCAGAAGATCTGAAAAGATCACCAGTGGTTGCCAGAAGATCCGAAAAGATCACCAGTGGTTGCCAGAAGATCTGAAAAGATCACCAGTGGTTGCCAGAAGATCCGAAAAGATCACCAGTGGTTGCCAGAAGATCTGAAAAGATCACCAGTGGTTGCCAGAAGATCCGAAAAGATCACCAGTGGTTGCCAGAAGATCCGAAAAGATCACCAGTGGTTGCCAGAAGATCCGAAAAGATCACCAGTGGTTGCCAGAAGATCCGAAAAGATCACCAGTGGTTGCCAGAAGATCCGAAAAGATCACCAGTGGTTGCCAGAAACCTACAAGTAAAAATGCTGCAAGAAACAGAAAATATCTAATTGCGGTACGTGGCAGCATTACTTCAAGATACGCGACTTCCAAAGATTCGTTTTTGTTCATACTGGCAACAATCACCAATTTTTCCAACATATTGACTTAAATTTTGTTTATAATCATGAGTCTCGTAATTCAGAATGTCTGTTGAGACACCACCTGTACTGCAACTGCACAAGCAGCAGGTGCGTCTAGGCTAAGACAGCCTGACCAAATTCATTCCTCTTCACAGTGGTTTTAAATTCAGAGCTTCCTTAACTAGTTGCCCTAGCAAAGCCAAAGAGCTTAATCTACCCTATTACTTACTGGAGTTTGAATTCAGAGATTTCCTTCACCTAGATTGGCTGACATCCAAGCTATTTTCATGGAGTTAATTATTAATTGTTATTAATTTCTTTTGACAGTTGTCTTTTAAGATATAATTGTGTGATGCATATTGTATGAGAATAGCATTTATTCCAAGTCTATAAAAGGGAATGTGGCTGGAATTCAAGTTAGCACCTGTTTGTTTAAAAAAAAAACAAAAAAACAACCTTTAGTACATTGATTACTTTGTTAAATAAAGCGAGATTAATACTGGGTGCCAGATGTTTTATATACAGTGCTTTTCTTGCAGTGAAATGTTTTGGTTACAGGATTTATGAAGATTAATTGTGTTATCAACCAGAATTTTCCTTATGGGTTCTTACACATTGTGGGTGTTTAAATACCTTTTTATGACACTTTGACCCGATAAATGACATATGAGGTGTCTGTTGAAGGAGGTGGTATTAATTCCTGTCCATCTTATTTAATAAAACATGTATGAAAGGAGGACCGTTGTCCATATATATATATATATATATAAAACCTATGTCAGTTTTAAGACCCAGAGTTGAGTCGTACAAATGACATAGATAATATGTATAGTTATTAATGTATACTTTATAGCTCTGTTACACTACGTTGAGCATTGTTTTGATTGCACCAAAATTAAATAGATATTTATTTGCAAATCTGTATGTGAATGTATTTGCATGCATGTATCGTTGCTCATACCTTTTTATTTTATATACACACACATATATATATATATATATATATATATATATATATATATATATATCATTACCTTCCAAGACCAAAATAAATTATTAAATAAATGACCCGAGCTCACCACAAAATGCAGACATAAAAACAAATTTTTACTATGTTACCTAAAAATCAGAAACTGAAAAATAAATAAACAAAATGACAATAAAATAAGTAAAATAAATTAACACTAACAAATTACCAAATCACACCCATTAGAATAGATGAAAGAATAAATAAATAAAAAATAAAAAACAAAATCAACGAACCTAAATAAATAAAGTAAATAATAAACAAGTTAACAAACCAGTATGGCCAGAATATTAGTTAGACTATAAAAATCAAACCAAAAATCGGACAAAAACATAGCTATAACTGTTATATAACAATAAAGAAAATATGTTACTTAAAAATCGAAAACCGAAAAGTGTAAAAAAAAAATTTATACAGTATAATAAATAAATAATAAAAAACAAGTAAATTAATCTAAATTAATCCAAATAAATAAACTAACAAACTGTTCCCGTTAAATCAACTGTTAAAAGAAACAAGATAATCAATCCAAATAAATAAATGAAGTAATAAACAAATTAAAAACTGCTCCAACAAAATAATAGTTAAAATAAACTACGGCAATCAACCCCAAAATTGAATAAATAGCTTTAATTATCTTCCTAAAACCAAAACAAAACTATTAATTAAGCGATATAAACAAATTCTTACTACATTAATAAAACACTGATTCAAATAAAAATAAATAAGTAAATATATAAGATAAATAAATAAATAGAAAATAAAAATTAAATAAAAACAAGCAAAATAAATTAACCCAAATAAATAAACAAATGAACAATTCCCGGCAAAATAACCGCAAAAATAGACTACCCACAATGCACCACTGACCTGTGTATATAAATAGCCGAGGAAAAAAACAAACAACACTCATGGCCTGACGATTGCATCTAGCATGAAACAGCCTGTCGCCTCTAAATGTTGACTTCAATGTTCACTTTTATATTTACACACCCTCTATCTCTGATATTGAGCACTTTATCCCATAAATATAGCACACCTTAAGACATTATATATATATATATATATATATATAAAATAAAAAGGAACATTGAAGTCAACACTTATATTTACATATGCTCTATCTCTGATATTGGGCAGTTTATCCCATAAATATAGCATACCTTAAAACTATATATATATATATATATATATATATATATATATATATATGCAAGTTTCATTAAATATGACAGACAAGGTTAACTTTGATTAAGTTTTTTTATACGATTTTTCATGTGAACTTATATTTTTCTTTTCAGTAGATAAATTATATAAAAACATGGACACAATATCTTGACTGTTTTGAAAATGAGACATTTAAATACACACATCCAACAATCTATTTCTAGTTAACAGTTAATATATTTCAACCTTGAAAATAGCTAAATGTATAGCCGAAATCACTCAGAAAAAGAAAAACAACATTTGGACAGTTTTTATATAATTTATCTACTGAAAAGAAAAAAATTATAACATGAAAAATTATATAAAAAAATTAATTAAAGCACCTTATCTATCATATTTAATGAAACTTGCATGAAAGAAGGATTGCTATCTAAATAACAATTATATGTGTGTGTGTGTGTGTGTGTGTGTGTGTGTGTGTATAGAATAATAATTACCTGTTAGTTCAAACACGGTTGTGTTCAATGCCACAGAATAATTACACACACTATTTTTAAGGTCCTTTCGTTGCGACTTTACTAAAATTTTCTTCCAACAGACCATAACTTCCATGATATATTTGTTTCTCATAATCGACCGAGGTTCATAGATTTTGGAAAGAAATGAAGTCATGAGTCCAACAGTCATGGATGTATTTTCTGAGAAGTTATCCTGCCAAAAGTAATAGCAACATTGGTATTCGATTGGAGGAATTACTGAGCAATTCAGCATAGAGTAGAAAGTGACCAAGGATCCAAGAATTGCAGGCGATGGGTTGACAGTGAGAGACACATGGCACCGGCCTGAAATTTGAATAAATAAATCTTTTAACTGAATGATCTTCAACAAGTTTATATACAGACCTGACCTCTTTCATGCAAAGAGAAGGTTATTTCAAAGTTAAAAGCATCAGTTAAAAAGAAAATTAATTTTAGAAAAATAAGAATGACATGCTAAAAATGAAAAGATCTCATAATCTTATCTTAAAATCTAATTACTGTAAAACCAGTCAATAAGGTTAATGTGACTTAATGAATATAGACAGGTGATGTTCACATTTAAAATAACTGGATTCATTTAGAATCAAAAGGTAGATTATTTTAGGCAACAACATAAATTACTGGAAATGCTGAAACTCTAGACATTTGTGAAAATTTCCTTCTAAAAAGGATAAAAAAAATAAAAAATTTAAAAAATAACTGCAAAGATAATATGCCATCAGTTGTGGTCAGAAAAACGTCACAGAAAAAAAGTCATAACATTGAAATCAAAGAATTCCACTATTCATGCTATCTTCAAGGCTAAGGATACTACAGTTGGGGTTAAGGTTAAAAAAAATGTCTAGACACAGAAAAAGTGCTAACATTGTCCAGTGACTTTTTCCCTGGATTTGCCATTAGCACTCAAGTGATTAGCAAATACTGACCAAAAGAATATTTTCTTCTTTTTAAAAAAAAGTGGCAAGTAAGTTAAAAGTCTTCCACTCTTATATATACCAACTTTAATCTGAGTAGTCACTAATAACGGTAATTTTAATGCCTCCAAAATGAAACTGCTCTCTTTTAATTGTCTTAGAGAACTTTTTTTGCTTCCCATCAGCATGGTTAATGCTAACCCCCAGGAAATTGACTAGTAGGACCTTATCGGGCTAGTGTTTTCCACTGACATGAAGTGGATTGATTATATTGAATCAATTGCTAGGTCTGCTGCTAGGAAAGTTGGTTCACTGTGTTGTGTTAGACAATTTTTCATGCCAGAATCTATCTCAACACTTTCATAAGTCTACTATTCATTCCTGAATTGAATATTGCTGTCACATTTGGTGCTTCTGCAATGTTATCAGTCTTGATCTGACATCTTGGCTTCAATCACTTTCCCAATGCTGTAAATATGGCTTCACAGCCATTTTTTTTTTTTTTTTTAAATAAATACTGTAATGGTAATTGTTCTTATGAGCTTTCCTTTTTGGTACCTTGACAATAGTAGATTGGCAGCAAAATCTCATTTTATAGTTGAAATGGTTTGGTTTGGTTTATTTTGTTTTACAGCATATCAACCTCAATGAGTTATTTAATGCCGACAACATTTTTAGGATAGATTCGTATGAATAGAATATGTATTCTTTGCTTTAGATTGGTTTGGTTTATTTTGTTTTACGGCATATCAACCTCAATGGGTTATTTAATGCTGACAACTTTTTATTGCTGGTAATATTTTGTTTTGTCAAAAATCTGTTTCTGATAATAGATTTCCTTCAAAATTGTATTGTTAGTAATAAATTTTTCAAAAAAGTATTGCTGGTAATAGTTAACTATTTGCCCATAGCTGGGACCCTAACAGGTGCTATCACCCCGGGTCCGGGTGGACCTGGGAACACCAGCAATTAAGAGGAGGTTCCACACTCCTCAAAACCTCCTGATCAGAGACCTTGCTGCTGGACGTAGTTTAACGTCTTACCTGGGACGAGGATGTAGTTTAACATCTTACACGGGACGTGTTGAAATGGCTAGATATCACCATAAGTTCTATGCTAATAGTTCCTTCTATCGCACTTCTCACTTGTGGAACTCTCTTCTAGCTTCTTGCTTTGCAGTTAAGATTGATCTTCAAAAATTTAAATGCAATGTCTAATTGTTATCTTCTGTTGCCTTAATTCCTGTTCTTTTATTGTTCTCTCTCCTTAAGGTTTTTTTTTTTTCAGATTCTTACACACTGAACCTTTGTATCTTAGTAGCTTTATTTCAATTTTTTTTTGGCTTGGGTATTTAAGTAAAATTTTTTTACTACATCGGACCTAAACTCTGATCTACTCTTAAGATTGTCTATTTTTCCTACTTAGTGCAAATGAAACTTCATGTCTCCTATTCAATAATATAAAGGCCAATGAGAGAAACATAAAAAAGGTCAATAAAATTTTGATCATTAATAGTATTAACCATGCACACTGCCATCGAACAAAGAAATACTCAAAGATATTTTTAGCCTGTTCAAGCGAAATGATTTTGTAAATATCAAATTGAAATCTTAGAACAGGATAATCTAAGCATTTAATTCCAATAAAGAGTCAACACTTCTTATCCTGGATGATTAGATATCCTGTTTGTCTGGTGAAAATTAAGTTAATTCAATGATTATTGCACAAAGTCAATTTGATAAAAAAAAAGAAAGAGTAACGTATTCTAGGAAACAAAAAAAAAAAGAATGTGATTAGGTTCATCCAATCTGCACTGTTCTTAGTAAAGAGATATTCTGATGTTATACTACACTGTGCCTGGAATTCATGTCAAGGCTGGAGAAAGAGGTACAAGGGAGAGTGAGGAAAAAGTGAACAAGGGCAGGGGCAGCAGGGTGCCATTACAACAAAGTTCATTAATTTGTTGGCATACTTAGATCTTTATACCCACAAAAAAAGTATAAAAAGAGACGGTCTTGCCATTGACCCCACTATCATTTTAACTACCTTCACTCCTCGGCAATGTTTGTTTTAAAAAGCAATGATTAGAATTGTAATAAAACCTAAACATATGATGAAAGTGACTTTATACATTTTCATGGTTTTTGAGAATTGACAACAAAAAATGATAAACACTATTAGATTGTTTATTTACACTATTTAATATATTGTTTATGGGAATGGTTGGCAAAACATCGAACAGTTGCCAATTGATCTGAACTTCATAAAATGCTAAATAAGGATTTCTTTATAATCGATTCGCATATTTTAATAATTTAGTAACTGTTTATAAATTTATGAATAAAAAAATCATTTTCATATCTATTTCTTTATAAATTGGTAAATGATAAATATTACATTGTATTAGTTTTTACGATGTTGTAAATATAAAATCATTCTTGTAAAGATCATAAAGAATAGGAAGTTTTGGAGAGCCATGACCGTCCATGTTCTATGTGACTCATAGGAGGTGGGGAAATATAAACATGAGCATTGGTTATGATTATGCAATGAGGAGAAACACTGAAATTGTAGGAACACTAAATTTTAATTATTTACACTATTTACATTGTACGGACTGTTGTTCTCATCTTTGTTGCCATATTCACATTTCAGCTGTTTTATGCTCCGGTTTTCTTCAGGTGATTGGAATTTTGAACTGAACACTTTATTTTATCCACCGGGGTAGATTGTTTCAGTTCCACATGCCATGCCTCTTTCAGATGTCTCAGTATCAGCTATCTCTCTTTAATTCTCCAAGTTTTTTTTTTTCACCTCTGCTGTAGAGAGGTATTAAACTCACAACACTTTGGGTCAAGTCACTGAACTCAACCAATGCCTTTATCCACTGGGCCATGTGTCCTTGAACAAAAATAGCGTAATTACAATACCACATCTCAGCGATATAGAAAAATACTAAATTTTAAAATTTATGGTACATGATGTGTCTAGACACACACCTGAGCTAATCTCATATGCTTTTTGCTTTTATTGTTGTTTATAGATATCTCACACTTCAGTAACAAAAGACCTGTTAAAAAGAGTGAAATGTTGTAAGAACCTTGACAATTTTACTGCAGAAGACTCAGTAATCATTGCACTTTCTATACATTTTCTGCCTACAAAAACAAGAGCATTAGGAGAATGAAACAAGATCACCTAAGCTGCATATAGTTATAACCAACATTTACATTTTCTCTCACTTTTTATTATATATATATATATATATATATATATATATATATATATATAGTACCCTGACGATCCGCGTAGGTGAAAACCTAGATAGGTATGCCTAGCTCTTTAGGTTCATAATTACATTTGCTCTACTTAGCATATTGAGCACTTTACTTAGTTATTTTTTATTTTACTCATGTTGGAGGTTTTTTTCTTTGGACTGAGCTTGGATTCTGGTTGATTATTTTCGCCAAAATTACATATTCCTATTCTTTTTTTTTTTTATTCCTTTTTTTTCCTTAGATAGTGGTTTGTTCATTTACAAGCCAATATGCCTAAGGTTTTTCCCGACGAGTATACTTATATTTATAAGATTATTATTATTATTATTATAATAATAATAATATATATATATATATAGCTGAGTGGATGCAATGTTTGATTTCTGGCCATAAGACCCAGTTTCGAATTTCACCATAGTCAATTTGTCAAGAAGGTGACTTCTTTATGTTATCAGCCTGGGGGAGGTGATCCTAGTGAGATGCACCTCTGGAAAGTGCATGAAAACCATATCACAGGTTCATGCAAGCCTTGTCAGGAAAATTGGATAGACAAAACTCTCTGGGAGCCATCAATGGTTGTGCTAGCACAAAGTCACTAGCCATCGTGACCGATGGTTTGAGTGTGCTGGCCTTGTTCAGACTGTTGATCACATTAGATAATGTGTGCTTTCCCAGAAACTAAGGTCCACTCAGTATAGGTGCAGTATAAACTACAGGTGGGCTCTGAACAAACACAAATTTGCCTGAGCAGGTGTCTGCAACAGGAATTGGCTGAGCCCTAGTAGACTGGCATCCTTGGAGATGGGTGGCTAGCCATATATATCTTCAAACATATACTAAATATAACAGGCAATGAATGTCTATTATGTTTGATCATGAGCTGTTCTAAACTTTGTATAGTTGCTTTAATTCTGGGCAAAAATAAAGACAAAAATTGTCCAACATTTGGATATTTTTTATTATGATGTTCCTTTAACCTTTCGGCTCACATGAGCCATCCTCAGAGTTGTTATATGGACATTTAAACAAAGATGTTCAGCATCAACGATGATATCTTGTTATGTCGACATAGAAGATTGCTATGCAATGATAACGGTCACAAAATCAGACA